AGGGACACTGGGAACCCTTGGGGACATGGATCCAGGATGTCCCCAGGACCCTCTTGTGTCCCTTGGGGACATGGACCTTGGGTGCCCCCATGTCCCTGTGTGTCCTCATGTCCCTCAGGACACTGGGAACCCTTGAGGACATGGATCTGGGGTCACTCATGTCCTTGTGTCCCCATGTCCCCTGAGGGACACTGGGAGCCTTGAGGTACATGGAGCTGCGGTGTCACCATGTCCCCAGGACACTGGGGAACCAGTGGGGACATGGCATGTCCCCATGTCCCTCTCGGGTCCCTGTGTGCCCTAAGGACATTGGGAACCTTTGGGGACATGGGTCCAGATGTCACCATGTCCACCCTGTGTCCCCATGTCACCTGAGGGACACTGGGGACCCTTAGGGACACGATGCTGGAGTGTCCCCATGTCCTCTGGACAATGCAGAACCTCTGGGGACATGGATTTGGGGATGTCCTCATGTCCTCCTGTGTCCCTATGTCCCCTGGACACTGGGGAACCCCTGGAGACATGGAACCGCGTGTCCCCTTGTTCCTCTTATGTCCCCATGTCCCCTAGGGACACTGGGGACCCTTGGGGACATGGATCCAAGGTGTCCTCATGGTCCTTCTTGTGTCCCCATGTCCCCTAAGGACACTGGGAACCCTTGGGGACATGGATCCAGGTGTCCCCATGGTCTCTCTTGTGTCCCCATGTCCCTTCAAGGACATTGGGAACCCTTGGGGACATGGATCTGAGGTGGCCCCATGTCCCCAGGACAGTGGGAAACCCTTGGAGACATGGATTCTGCCATATCCTTGTGTCCCTCTTATGTCCCCATGTCCCCTAGGGACACTGGGAACCCTTGGGGACATGGATCCAAGGTGTCCCCATGTCCCTCCTGTGTCCTTGCAGGACCTTGTCCCCTCCCTGGCATCCCCCATCCCGATCCGTCCCAGGGGATGCGGATTTGGGATGTCCCCGTGTCCCCTCTCCTGTCCCTCATCCCCCCGACAGCCCCGTGACACAGATCCGGGGTGTCCCTGTCCCTCCTGTGTCATGACCAGGACATGCCACGGGGACGTCCCTGTCCCCTCCTGGTGTCCTTTGTCTCCTGTCCATCTCAGGGGACATGGATCCGGACTGTCCCCATGTCCTTCTTGTGTCCCCATGTCCCCCAGGGACACTGGGAATGCTTGGGGACATGGACCCAGGGTGTCCTCATGTCCCTTCTGTGTCCCCATATCCCTCCTGTGTCCCCATGTCCCCTTGGGGACATGGCTCCAGGGTGTCCCCGTGTCCCTTGGGACACCAAAGAGTCTCAGGGTCATGGATCTGGGATGTCCCCGTGTCCTTTCTGTGTCCCCCCTGGGACACTGGAAATCCTTGGGGACATGGATCCAATGACCCATGTCCCTCCTGTGTCCCCATGTCCCTCAAGGACACTGGGAACCCTTGGGGACATGGACCTTGGATGTCCCCATGTCCCTTCTGTGTCCCCCAGGGACACTGGGAACCCTTGGGGACATGGACCTTGGGTGTCCCTATGTCCCTCCTGTGGCCCCATGTCCCCTCAGGGACACTGGGAACCCTTGGGGACATGGATCCAGTGTCCCCATGTCCCTCCTGTGTCCCCATGTCCCCCTTAGGGACATGGACCCGGGGTGTCCCCATTTCCCCTCGGGGCCACCAAGGAGCCCTTGGGGCCACTGCTTTGGGCTGTCCCTGTCCTGCTTATGTCCCCCAGGGGGAGGGGAGGGTGGCAGCAGTGGGGACAACAGTGTCACCATCCCCT